AGGACCCGGACGCTTCTGCGGAGGCTTCCTGGCAGGCGGGAGGGCCCCTAGCAAGCCCCCCTGCCCGAGCTGCTCCGGCGCGCAGCGTGGGGCCGAAGATCCTGTTCGAGGGCTCCTCCCGGTGGCCGGAGGCAAACAAGAGACTCGGGCGTCTGGCGTCAGCGAAGAACACAGTGGCAGTGCTGCTCCTGGGGTTGGGCCTCTGGAGCCCCGTGTCGGAGCCCAGGACAAGCGAACACAGGCAAATGATGCAGCGATGTCGGAGGTCTGGCAACCGCGACGGCGGGTGCCAGTCCTAGCTGGCATTTTCGGGCGCTGACGCAGCTACTGTTCCTTCCGAGGCGGAACTGCCCAGCTGCCTCTCTCTCCCTCACGCTCAAGCTCCGCATCACAGCATGCATATCCTGCGCAGCTTGTTTTGCTCCGTCGCTGTGCAAACGCATGCGACGCAACAGCAGGGGCCGCGCGTCCCAAACAGGGTCAGCACATGCATCTACTATCCAATGGGGAGGGAAAGAGGAACTGAGAACGGGCATGTATCCGCTATCATGCAAACAGCACGTCGGAGCATGTGGCCTCCAAGACGGCCCCGAAGCGCCCCAAGAGGGTCCCCCGTTGGTCCAGAAAGGCCCCCAAGACGGCTCCCGACGGCGTCAGACGTGCCAGGAACCCACCAAGATGGCCGAAGTTGGCTCGAAGCTGACCCAAGACGGCCCAAGAGGCCCCCAAGAGGGCCTCCACGAAGGAGGGAAGAAGCAAAAAACCTTGATGTTCCTAAGGTTTTCGAAGGATTTTGACTTTCCTTCTATCCGGCCTTCCGACGGCCCGAGACGGCCAAAGAGACCCCGAAGATCACCGACAGATCGTCCACGAGGCCTCCAAGACGGCCAAGATGACCTTCAAGATGCCCCCGTGTTCCCCGAAGGCTTTCCAAACCGATTCGGGGAACACATGGTCCGATGGCTTGGCAGGCCTCTGGCCTCAACGTTCGGCCACATAGGCGCTTCCCAAAAGGCAGGGGGCGGCGGTGATTCGCCGTAGGCGTCTTAGATCCGCCGCCCCCTGTCGATTCATCGCAGGGGTGCCTGGCGTGCTGGATCCTATCGGTTTTGGTTTTGGTTCTTTTTCCAAAAGAGCTCTCCCAATGGGTTTCAGCCCGTCCCGCCGGGGTCCCGGGATTTTTGCCACGGACCTCAATTCCCTACTTTTCTGCCCAAGACGGCTCCAAGATGGCCTCCAAGATGGCCAAGATGGCCAAAGATGCCCTCCAAGATGGTCCAAGATGGCCTCCAAGTCCGCCCAAGATGGTCCAAGGCGGCCTCCAAGACGGCCCAAGAGAGTCCAAGACGGCCCAAGACGGCCCAAGAGGCCCCCCAGAGGCCTCCCAGACGGCCCAAGAGGCCTCCAAGAGGTCCTCCAGGATGGCCCGAAGATGCCAAAATCAGTGATGTTCCATAGGTTTTTGAAGGGTTTTGGAATATGCTTCTTCTCGGCATTCCGACGGCTCAAGATGGCCCAAGAGGCCCCCAAGATCGCCCACAAGGCCCCCAAGAGTGCCCCATGACGGCCCAAGTGGCCTCCAAGATGGCCCCAAGAGGGCCCCAAGACGGCCCAAGAGGAGGCCTCAAACAAGCCCAAGATGGCCTCCAAGACGCCCAAGATGGCCTCCAAGACGGCCCCGAAGCGCTTCAAAAGAGTCCCCCGTTGGCCCAGAAAGGCCCCCGAGACGGCTCCCGACAGCGTCAGACGTGCCAGGAACACACCAAGATGGCCGAAGTTGGCTCGAAGCTGGCCCAAAGGGCCCAAGAGGCCCCCAAGAGGGCCTCCAGGAAGGCCAGAAGAGGCCAAAAACATTTAGTTCCCCAGAGTTGTTGAAGGAGTGTGGCATTTGCTTTTTGTTCGGCCTTCCGACGGCCCGAGACGGCCCAAGTGGCCCCAAAGATCGCCCAAGACGGCCCCAAGAGGCCCCCAAGACGGCCAAGATGACCTTCAAGATGCCCACGTGTTCCCCGAAGGCGTTCCAAACCGATTCGGGGAACACATGGTCCGATGGCTTGGCAGGTCTGGCCTCAACGTTCGGCCACATAGGCGCTTCCACAAAGGCAGGGGGCGGCGGTGATTCGCCGTAGGCGTCTTCGATCCGCCGCCCCCTTTTGATGTATCAAAGGGGTGCCTGGCGTGCCAGACGATATGGCTTTTGGTGTTGGTTCTTTTTCCAAAAGAGCTCTCCCAGTGGGCTTCGGCCCGTCCCGCCATGGTCCCAGGAGATTCCCGAAAATCCGTCTGTGAATGCCTGTGTTGCCCCAAATTGGCCCAAGATGGTCTCCCAGACGGCCAAGATGGCCCAGGATAGCCTCCAAGATGCCTCCAAGACAGCCAAGATGGTCTCAAAGACGTCTAAGATGGCTTCAAGATGAACCCAAGACGGCCCACGATGGCCTCAAGATGGTCTACGATGGACCAAAAGGCCAGCAAGAGGCCTCCAAGACGGCCAAAGAGCCCTCCAAAAAGTCCTCCAGGAAGGCCCGAAAGGGCCAAAATCACTTGTTTCCCTCCATCTATTGAAGGAGTTTGGCATTTGCGCCTTTTCGGCTTTCCGACGGCCCAAGACGGCCCAAGAGGCTCCCAAGATCGCCCCAAGATCGCCCAAGAGGCCTCCAAGATGGCCCCATGACGACCCAAGACGCCCCCAAGATGGCCCCAAGAGGGCCCCAAGATGGGCCAAGAGGCCTCCAAGACGCCCAAGATGGCATCTAAGACGGCTCTGGAGCACCCCAAGACTGCCCCAAGTCGGCCCAGAGCGGCATCCCAATCGGCTTCCGACGGCCCGAGACGGGCCAGGAGCCCACCAAGATCGTCGAAGATGGCCTTAAGATGGCCCAAAGGGCCCAAGAGGCCCCCAAGAGGGCCTCCAGGAAGGCCAGAAGAGGCCAAAAACATTTAGTTCCCCAGAGTTGTTGAAGGAGTGTGGCATTTGCTTTTTGTTCGGCCTTCCGACGGCCCGAGACGGCCCAAGTGGCCCCAAAGATCGCCCAAGACGGCCCCAAGAGGCCCCCAAGACGGCCCAAGAGGCCTCCAAAACGCTCAAGATGGCCTCCAAGACGGCCTAAGAGCCCTCCAAGACGTCCTCCAAGAAGGCCCGAAGGGTCAAAATGGCCTCCAGACGGCCAAGATGACCTTCAAGATACCCACGTGTTCCCCGAAGGCTTTCCAAACCGATTCGGGGAGCACATGGTCCGATAGCTTAGCAGGTCTGGCCTCTTTGGGCTGTCTCTGGACGGCTCTCGCAGCTCTCTTGGGCTGTTCTTGGAGCCTCGTCGGGGTCTTTTTGGGGCCTCTCAGGGATCGGGGGTGTGTTTGGGGCCTCTGGGTGGTCCCGGAAGCCTCTCGGAGGTCTCTGGAAGCCTCCTGCTCCCGCTCTTGGGCCCATCTTCGGCCTGTTCTGGGGTGGTCTGGGGCTGTCCTGGGCGCCTCTTCGGCAGTCTTGGAGCCTTCTTGGCCCATCTTGCGGCCGTCCTGAGGGTCTCTTGGGTGGTCTTGGGGCGGTCTTGGGAACCTCTTCGGCACTCTTGGACCGTTGGAAACTCAAAAACACGAGAAGCCAAAAACATGGAAGAAACCAATGAGAATCGACGATTTTGGCATCTTCGGGCCGTCCCGGGACGCCTCTCGGACCTCTCTTGGGGTCTCTTGGAGGCCACCAGGGAGCCTCGAGAGCCGTCGAAGACTGACTTGGGCTGCTTGGGAGCGTCTTGGGCCATCCTTTCGCATTCTGGGGGCTCCTGGGAGGCGTCTTGGGCCCTCCTGGAGCGCTATGGAGGCTCCCGGAAACGCCTGGGGAGCGGTACCGGGAGCGTTCACGAGATGTCACGGGGAGGTGTGGCACCCGGGACCGGGGGGGCGGTATCTATTCATATTATACACACATATATATACATATATATATTTGTGTATTATATATACGCAATTGAATGCGAACCATGTATTGGAACACGAACATTCACCAACATTCCTACATATATATATTTATATGTACCGCAGTGTAGTTATATATACATATATATATATATATACATACATGTATACATATAAACATATCAATATACTATGTATATATGCACACCGGTGTACGTATGTATGTCTGCATGCATGCATGCATGTATGCATGTGTGCATGTGTGTATGTACGCACGTATGTATGTATGTATGTACGCACGTACGTACGTATGTTGTATGTATGTATGCCTGTACGTATGTATGTATGCATATATGTGTGTATGCATGTACGTATGTATGCATGTATGTACGCATGCATGTATGCATGTCTGTATGTATACATGCACGTATGTATGCATGTATGTGTATATATATGTATGTATGTATGCATGCGTGCATGTATGTATGTATATATGTGTGTACGTATGCATGTATGTATGTATGTATGACTGTGTGCATGTATGTATGCATGTATGTATGGATGTGTGTATGCATGCATGTACGTACGTATGTATGTATGTATGTATGTATGTATGTATGTATGTATGTATGTAGGTGTGTAGGTGTGTATGTACGTATGCAGGTATATATGTAGGAATGCACGCAGGTGCGTGTACAGGTACATGGGACACGTCGCAACATTTAGCGAGAGAGAGGGATAACGAGGGAGAGAGAGGGAGAGATGTAACACACATTACTGAGCAACACACCAGTGGGATAGGACAATTGAGATAGAGGGGCTCTATCTTATGGGGTAACAAATACAAGGAGGGACGAGAGAAACGGTGAGGGGGTGGAGCCCCCAGAATGCAACATTTACGCGGCAAAAGGCAACGGGGCTTCGAACAACCGAGAGGGTCCCAAAGGGGAGCGCAACCACGCAGGCGCATTCGATGACACATCGAACATTCCTGGGAGCACCGACATGACAAACAATGCTGTCGTTTTCGAGGAACTGCTTCCTGGCGAAGGAGGGGGGGGGATGGAAGGACGCCGCGCGCCCAGCTATCTCACGACGCGCTTCTTCTTGCCATCCTCCAACGGCTGTGGGTTCGCCAATTCCTCCGCTGGCGCGCAGAGGGGAAAGGGACTCCCGAGTCCAGGGGAGGCACGCGAGGCCGCCTGGAGAGAACAGGACATCGCGCTCGTGACGCTCACGCCCCGTCAGCCATCGGCGTCTACCTGCTTCGTGGGCGCGTGCGATGGACGGGGGTGGGTTCAGAAGCATGGCGAACGCGGGGGGCACACGGCGATTGATATTCGATGGGGGTCATGCGACGAAAAAGGAGGGCGGGGCGAAGGGGGAGAGCTCGAGCACCCGACAATTACATGGAAAGAGAGCGAGAAAGAGAGAGAGAGAGAAAGAGCTTCAGAAAGCAACGCCAACACGCAGTGTCGGCGGGAGGAAAAGGACAACGAGGGAAGAAGGCGGAAGACACCAGAGGCCAAACGCTTGCACCGCCGCCGCGGCACCCCGCGGATTTGTAAGGGGCCGCCGCTTCATGACTTCGGTCACGCTTCCCTCTCTTTCTCTTTCGGTCTCTCCCTCTCTCTCTCTCTTTCTCATTTGTGTTGTTTCTCTATGTTTCTTATGCTCCTCTCCTTCTCTCTCTCTCTCCTCATCTGTCTGTTTTTTGGTTCTCTCTCCCTCTCTCTCTCTGTCTCTCTCTGTCTCTCTCATTTGTTCCCCAACCATTTTTTTTGTTTCTCTCTCTCTCTCTCTTTCTCTCACGGGCACCTTGGAAGATTAGGGAAGTCTCTGCTGTGCCCGAAAGCTTCTGGACGGCACCGAGAAGCACCTCGCGCTGCATTTCGGCCGCGCCCAGCGACTGGCCAGCGCAGAACAAGGGGCAAAGAGGAGACGCGAGGAGGCAGAAAAGGGCTGCGAGTGGAGGGGGCCAGAAGGAATGGGGGAGGGATGGGGCGGGAGGAGAGACGAACGGGGGGAGGAAGGGCAAGAAACACTTGCGGAACGCGGGGGAAAGCAGAGGAGGAGGCGAAAAGGCAGGCCCCCCCTGGTTCCTCTAGCAGTCTGGCCTTTTCCTGCTTCAGGTTGTGGAGCTGCTCCACCAAGGCCTGCGCCTCGGGTGCAATCGCACGCGCGAAACATGGCCGCCGGCAACAGGCACAATGCCCAGCAATACGCGCTGTCACTCCCTCATCCCTCTTCCGTCCTCCTCCTCCTCCTCCTCCTCCTCCTCCTCCTCCTCCTCCTCCATTCTTTGCCTCCGCACGCCGCACCGCGGGCGCAGGCCGGCAACGTCGCAAGGGGCGAAAAAGGGGCGCGGGGCGGCGGGCACACGAACCGCTTAAGGCGGAAAGGGCGCAGAAAGGCGCGCGCGGGCAGAAGGACGAAGGCAACGGGGAGTGCGAACCCAGGGAAGGGGGGAGGGACAGAGGGAGAGCCAGGGGCGAAAATTACTGACCGGATCACGGGCACGAGAGGAGAGCCAAAAGACGCCAAGAGAGGGGACGGCGGAGGGAGGGGGAATTGTTGCTCGTCTCTCTCCGCCTCGCAACCTCGGCGGATCGCGGCAGTCGGCCCTCAAGGGGCCTTGCCACTCAGGCCGCCTCTCGTCCTTCTCCTCCTCCTCCTCCTCCTCCTCCTCCTCCTCCTCCTCCTCCTCCTCCTCCTCCTCCTCCTCCTCCTCCTCCTCCTCCTCAAGTGACGATGAAGAAGCGCACCCCTTTTTCACTCCACTGCCCGATGACGCCGCGGTCTCCGAGGCGCGAGCTCGCGACCCGGCAGCCTGTCTGCCCGGGCCGCCTGCCCCCCCCCCCCGCGGCGCTGCAGCCTGTCTGCCAGGGCCGCCTGTGCCCGCTGGGGGGAGGGTACGTGCCGACCAGCAATGCAGGCAGGCGCGTCGCGGCTTCTCGTGCCCCTGGCGGGGCCGAGAGAAAACGCCACGGGAGGCCCCGCCTCAGAGGCGCAGGTGGGTGGGGCCCCCCCAAAAAGTACTGCCTTCGCTGGAGGCCTTGAGCAAAGAGTACGCGAACAAAACCCTCTGTCATAACAGACGCCCATGTTTCGCTACTCTCTCTATCCGCCTTGCAACCTCCGCGGATCGCGGAGTCCCTCAAGGGGCCTTGCCGCTCACGCCGCCTCTCGTCCGCCTCCTCCTCCTCCTCCTCCTCCTCCTCCTCCTCCTCCTCCTCCTCCTCCTCCTCCTCCTCCTCTTCCTCCTCCTCCTCCTCCTCCCGGGCGGCCCCTAGGGCCGAATTCGTCTTGAACATTGTTGGTCGAGTGTAGCCTCCTCCTCCTCCTCCTTGACCTCCTCCCTCCCTCCTCCTCCTCCTCCTCCTCCTCCTCCTCCTCCTCCTCCTCCTCCTCCTCCTCCTCCTCCTCCTCCTCCTCCTCCTCCTCCTCAGATGACGATGAAGAAGCGTGCCCCTTTTTCACTCCTCTGGCCGATGGCGCCTCGGTCTCGGAGGCGCGAACTCGCGGCCCGGCAGCTTGTCTGCCCGGGCCGCCTGCCCCCCGCGCGCTCCGGCACTCGCCGCCGCTCCGCGCGCGTCGCGAGCGGCGGGGCCCACCTCGAGGATTCCTGCCCGCGCTGGAGGGGGGGGGGCCTGCCTCTGCCACCGCCCTCCACTCGCGCGCCAACAGCGCCCGTGTCTTCTTTCCGCCTCGGCAGGCGACCGCCCCTCAGCCTCACGAGGCCCCCCCTCGCGATAGCCGTTGGCCTGCGCGGCCGGGTGAGTGCGCCTCGAGCCTCGAAGGCCCCTCACGGCCGCCACGCCCCTCCTCCTCAGACCATCGCCAGGTCCGCGTCTGCCACGGTGCTGCCCTGCGCCATGTCCCTCGCGCCGCACAGGTAGCCCTGGAACGCGCCGCTGTTCCAGCGCCCCCAGTGCTGCGCCAGCGCCATGTCCTTCATCGCCGCGCGCAACGCGGATGCTCCACTGATCCGCAAGCTTCGGGAGCCGAGGTCGTTCGGGTCCACCCCCCCTGCCGCGGCCGAATGCATCGCCGCGCGCTGGACGTCTGCCCGCGCCGCGAGCCCGGTGTCGTCGCAAGCGAAGAGCGGGTCGTGCACGCGTGTCCCTGAGAACCTCTCGCGCGCGCAGCCCGCCTGGATCGTTAGTGCATCCACGACGCATATGCGCCCCTTCTCCACTGACTTCGCTGTCACCACGACTCTGCACTGGTCTCTTCCGCTCGGCGCCCCCGTCGCGCCCCCCGAGGCCATCAATCGCCATCCAGAGCCTTCCTGCGCCCGCCGCCAGGCCGCCCATACCGAGGGCCAGGCGCTGGGCACGGACCGCTCACAGGCACTACTTCATGGCGCCCGCCCTCATGTCATGCACGTGTGCCTGGACAAGTGCGCGACAAACTCCAGCAGCAGCTCCTCCCCCCCTCTCCGATTCGCGAGTGCGATCTCCCGTAGCGAGCTGATACCACGCGCGCGGCAGAAACGGGACCACCACCGCTGGCCTGGACTGTGCGACTTTATGGTGGAACTCGGCAGCTTGTCCAGGATGAGATCCAGCTCGGCCTTCTCCCTGTCCTAACGCGTCTTGAGGTCTGCGAGGATCATGTCGTGGGGCTTGGCCTTGTCTGGCACAACTTCCGGCCCGGGCTGGTTCGGCGGCTGGCGCCGCGCCGGGCCCGCGCTTCTTCGTCTGAGAGATGTTTCCAGCCTGGCGCTCCTCCGCCTCTTTCGGCATCAGAGCAGCCAGGGCCCTGTCGAGCCAGCCTCCACTCTGATCGGGGTAGCCTCAAGTCCTGACCAGCTTGTCCAGCTGCTCCTGCGCCCTCTCTTGCTCTATGCACCCGCATCTCCTGCTGTCAGCTGACCCTCGGCCGTCGCGCCCGCCGTCGTCTACCTACTGGTCGATTCCCTCGACGACCAGCCTCGCGCGCGCCCAGATGCCTCTCGCTCCTGCGCCAGCTCCGCGCCCGAGCCCCTGGCGTCGCCGAGGAAGCGCGCCGCGGCTTCCGGGTCGATGCCGCTGCAGCCCCGTCCCTGGGCCGCCCTGGTCCTCGCCTCCCCCCATCACTGGCCCATGCCTCGTAGCGGCGGGCTGCGAGGCCCTGCGCTGCTTGGCCCCCTGCCCCCTGGGCACCTCGACCGCTTGCGCTCCCTCCTCGGCCCGAATGGCCCTAGCGCGCAGGGCGGCCATCCTCGCTGCCTCCTCCTCCGGGCTGCGCACCGCTCGCGCATCCCTCGCGACCCTGCCTCGGGGCCTCGCCGTTCCTGGTCCCCTCTGGCATCGGGAGAGGCACTCGCCCAGCTGGCATCGGGGGGTGGGGGGGCTCGCGCTGGGCCAGGGGCGCGGCGACCCTTACTGTGGCGGGGGTTCTCCCGCCCCCCCCCAGGGGCGGGGGCAGGGCATCCTGAGCCGCCGACGGGCGGGTGGAGCCTGGATCACGGTCGCGGGGCCGTTGCAGGCAGCCTGGCGCTCGGCGGCCCTGCTCGCCAAGTCCCGGTACCTGCGCCCCCATGCCGCCCGCTCCTGCCACCCCTGCCCATCCCCCTCTGACTCGGGTTCCTCCATGACGACGGGCCCCAGCCACCTCGCCCTCAACCTGACGCGGGGCTCGCCGGGCCGGGCGGGCCGCCTTCTTGCGCGCCCCCCCCCTTGGCCAGCGTTGCCTCTGCCGGCGCTCCCCCGGGCCTCCTCGCGCTTTCTGCGGGCGCGCGTCTCGGGCGAGGGTGGCGGGCGCTCCTCGTCAGCGCCGCTGCTGCCCGGCCCCGCCACCCGACCGCCGCGGGCGTCGGGGGGCCCGCGCCGAAGCCGGCGTCGCTGGGAGACACCTCATGGCCCGGCCGCAGGGCCGCCGCCATCGCCGCGATCTCGTTGGCTGCCTCCCGCGGAGGCGTCGCCTTCTGTTTCCTATCCCTCCTCCCGCCTGCGCCTCCGCTGCCCGAGGGGAGCAGTGGATCTGCGCCCTGCCCGCGCTGAGCCTTGTCGCCGTGGGAAATGTGGTTGGTTCCTCCATCCACCCAATCCTCGCCTGCGCGCCTCCCTGCGCACATGTTGCAGCAAAAGCCCGGCTTCCAAAGCGAGGCCGGGGCGCCGTGTCCAGGCGCGGGCAGCTGGGCCGGAGGCGCGGCTTGAGCTTGCGCCTCTGCGGCTGCTGGGCGAGGCTCTGCTCCGAGCCTGACGGGGCCGCCCCGCTGGCGGGCGCCGCCGTCGCGTGCGCGGCTCCAACCCGCGCCTCCTGCAGCTCCCCGGTCGCGGCCTCTCCAGCCCTCGGCGCCCTCGGGGGCGCCGTGGGCGCTCGGTGCCCCGCTGCTGTCCAGGGCGCCCATTTGTCTTCGCTATCCACGGCGCCCGCGCGCCACCCTCCGTCTCCACCGTCGTCTCTTCCAGCGCGGCAGGGGGGGGGGGCCTCCGCTCCGCGGGCGCCGGTCATCGGCGCCTGGGCGCCAAGGCGCGCGGCCGCCCCCCGCGCGGCCTCCCGCCGAAGAAGCATGCCGGGGAACTGGGTGGAGGGGCTGACCACGCATAGCACATGTCGCGTCGCGGTCGTCGTTGAGAAGCCCGCATGGAACACGAAATCCAAGCTGTAGAACTGCAGGGCCACGGCGCCCATGGCGCGGCGTCGAGGGCGCAAGCCCATGGGCCAGCTGCAGCGCCCAACCGTTGTCCAGAAACGGCTGAAAACCCGAGCCCAAATGGTCACAGACGCAGGGTAGACAAGAAGATACACAATGGTGTTGGCGCATGGGGGCTGTGATTTCTGGGGGAAAGACCCAGGGCATGTATCTAGCACGCTTGTGTACATGTGTGTATCAAGCGCCGGCGCTTGGGCTCGAGAGAAAGGCGCTTCCCTTCTCCCACTGCAGAAGCGACGGGTCGAGGGAGCGATAGCGGCTTGGAGCTATTCGATCGAGTTCTCTTTCGAGATTCCCGCCGACGGCATCGACACGTTCGAGCGGGAGAGTTTCGACCAGAAACGAGGTTTGCAGCGGAGCTTGTGGTTGGCCCCACGATCTTCATTATAACGATTATCAAGATAATCTACACGGACACGGATTAGCCATCCAGGAGAGATGACGGAGCACAACAGTGCAGTGGATCCAAGAATCCCGGTGCTGAAGGGCGAGACCCTCAAGGATTTCACGAGGTACAAGCGCGCCGTGCAGGCGGCGGAGCTGAGCTGCGAGACGGAGGATCAACTACAGGCGCTCGGCCCCAAGCTGTATAGGAACCTGCTCGGCGCGGACAACAGCATCAGCGTGCTCATCGAGCAGACGGACCCCAAAGACTACGCGAAGAAGGAGGGGGCCCGAGCGCTGCTGGCATACTTGGAGGCACAGCGCTTCGCCAAGAGCAGTTTTCGGGAGCTGCCGAAGGCATTCGACGCCTTCTTCGATCAGACGCATTTCGAACGGAAAGGCGAGGAACCCATGGCGGCGTTCTGCGCGGCCATGGAGGTTGCCAAGCGTAACCTAGAGGAGGTGGACCCGGACACGAAGATAAGCAGCAACGAGCTAGGGCACCACACTCTGAAGCGAAGCGGCCTCGACAAGGACGAGCGCAATCTGGTGATTGCACGGGCGGAGGAGACGTTTAACTTCCAGAAGATCAGCATGACGCTGAAGAACCTCTTCCCACGCGGCAGCGCGAAGCATCGGGGACAAGTCAGATCGGGCTGGAGATGGACGATGAACACCGAAGAGGAGCCACCCGACGAAGAGGATCCAGGAGAATACTGGGTACAGGATGATGACGGATACTGGTACGAATGGGACGACGAGCGTGGAATCCACGCGTGTACGGACGAGGGTGACGACAACGGCTGGGACTGCAGCGACCTGTTCTTCATCGAGGACGACGCGGACACGTTCCTGGCTGACGAGGACGACGACTACCGCAGGGCCCTCGTCACCCTGCGCGAGAGCCGCCCGAAGATGAACAAGCTTCGGGCTGCTCGCGGGTTCTTCAAGGGAAGAATCGACGGAGTCGTGGACGAGAGCGCGGCTGCTGGTGGCAAGGCGGCCGGAAGAAGATTCTCCAAAGGCAACCCTGGCAAAGGAAAGGACAAGGGTAAGTCAAAGGACAAGAGGTGCACCAACTGCGGCCGGATGGACCACGACACGGCGAACTGTCCGACTGGCGGCTCTACTGGCAAGACGGGCAAGCCCAAGGGCCGCGGCAAGGGACCGAAAGGAGTCCAACGTCCACGACGCTACGGCTTCTGGGCGATGACGACCTTGGTCTGCGCCGTCCCGGCGTGCGTGAACTTCGTGGGTCAGATGACCGCCGTGGGCGAGCTGGCCGACAGCGCCGTGGTGCAGACCGCTGAGGACGTCTACGACATCACGACGGTGAGCGTGGATAGCGATCCGATCGTGCCGGAGAGGCTCGAGTTGGAGGTGCTGGTCTCGAAGGAGGCCGTGCCGGCGGCCCTGGTGGACAGCGGCGCGTCGGTGGCAGTCGTCGGGCGCGGCTGGCTTGACCGCGTCGCGACCGAGCTCGCGAAGTACGGCCTGAAGCCCATCAAGGTGGACGCCACGCAGAGGTTCAAGGGGCTCGGCGGTGCCAAGCGCGAAGCCAAGCAGAAGTGGATCATCCCCATCGGCATTGGGAGGGTCCATGCTATCCAGGAGTACTTCGAGATCCCTGGTGACATGGTCGGCCTCACGAGCAGGAAGAACCTGGCCGACTGGAAGACGAACCTCTACGTACGCGAGGACGGCCACTGGGCGGACTTCCAGGAGCTGGGGGTCTACGACAAGGAGCTGGTGAAGCTTCCAGGCGGCCACGCGGGTCTCGACATCTTCGACTACGACCTTGAGTCGTACGAGACGGAGCCGCTCTTCGAGAAGTTCCGCATCCACCAGGTCGACCCCGAGCCGGAGGTGTTCCTGGCCGCGGAGACGCTGCAGGAGGTCAAGCCGGACTTCTAGCTGAAGGACGACGCCGACGCGTGGGTCGCGGAGGCCTTGAAGAATGGCAACAAGGGCATTCTCAAGAATTGCACGGTCAAGCGGATCGACAAGCTCATGAAGGAGTACGAGGTGATATTCGACGTGCTGCGTGACAACTCGGAGACCTTCCTCTGGGAGCTGTTTGCGAAGGAGGCTCGCTTTACTAGGGCGGCCTCGAGAGGTGGTCACGCGAATGCGACCCCTTCAGATCTGTCGGTTGGTGTGAATTTCAATGACCCCAAGGTTTGTTCCGATTTCCTGTTCATGATCAAGATCTTCAAGCCTTGGACGGTTTCGGTCGCGTTTCCTTGTACGCCCTTCACGAACATGCAGGAGTTTCAGCGGGCGCAGGGCATGGGCGACTGGGTCGATGACATGGTCGAGGAGTTTACGCCACTGGTCAGCTTCTCGGCGGACGTACTTCGACTTCAGGCTGAAGGAGGACGAATCGGTATCGGCGAGAATCCGTTGACGAGCCGAGCGTGGAACCAAGAATCGATGACGGACCTGATGAGCTGGAAAGACGACCGGCCACCATCCTACGACACGGTCACGCTGCACCAGTGCATGTACGGGCTCGTGGACGAGAACGGGACATCGATTCGGAAGGCGACGCGCATGCTGGTACCATATGGGTCGTGTTTTCCTTCCTGGCTGGAACGCAGATGTGACGGAGGCCACGAACATGCGGAGACGGTCGGCCGGAGCGCGATGCTCTCGCGATCGGCTGCGTGGCCGGAGGAGCTCGGCAAGACCTTGGTCAAAGCCGGGACGCACGAGCTGGCGATGCGCACGACCTTGAAGGAGCTGCGGATCTGGAACAACGGGGAGAAGATTCCGAGCCGACCAACTGTGAATGGAGTTGCGAAGGCATTCAAGCTGAGAAAGGAGTTGATCGACGTGCGCGTGCTGAGGGGCACCGAGGAGATACCACTACCTCGAGGAGCTGTACGGCGTATCTACGCGATGTACTCCAGCGAGGGCTTGCTGGCCGACTACTCGGATGCCTACGCGGACGACTCGGATTTCCAGACGATCGACCTGGCGGAGAGGTATCCCTCGGACACGGTCGTGGCGATCTACGTGAAGGAGCCGAAAGTGCAGACGTCCTACCCCGCGACGGTCTTTGCCTATGGAGCCACGCCGAAGGAGTTCAAGCCAGACGATCGAGACGCAGACGCAGTACATCGAGACCTACACGAAGAGGGGAAAGGCTTCGGGGATAAGCCCCCGGACATCACTACGGCCCAGTGGGGCGCTCTTCGGAAGCTCCACTTGAACCTGAGCCATCCGTCTGCACACGCCCTCAAGCGACGCCTGAAGTCCTACGGGGTGTCGAAGGAGGTGCTCGAAGCGGTGGACAAGTTGGACTGCACCGTGTGCAAGGAGCTGGGCAGGCCGAACACCACGAGGTCAGCCAATCTGAAGCTCTCGACGGAGTTCAACGAGAACGTGTTCCTAGACGAGGCTGAGGTGATCCTCTCGGACGGGACGCGGCCGATGGTCATGGTTATCCTGGACGACGCGTCGGGCTTCAGGGTGATCGTTCCGACCGCAGCTGTGCGATCGATTACGGGCGAGGAGAGCCTACGGTGCTTCTCGCAAGGTTGGTTGTCGTGGGCAGGCCCTCCGAAGGTGCTCTACTACGACGCGGCGAAGGGCCACATCACGAAGCGGTTCGCGGAGATCGGTGACAAGTACAACATCCTGATGAGGCCTGTCCCGGCGGAGGCGCCTCAGCTGAAGGGAAGAGTCGAGCGTGCCATCGACTTCTTCAAGGATCATTTCCAGCGCCTGAACCGCGACGTGCAGCTCACTAAGAACGACGAACCAACGGTATGGACTTCAGTGATAGCGAGCACGTGCAACAACCACATACGACGCAACGGCTTCACGCCCTACCAGTACGTGATGGGGAAGTCGCCCGGCACTCCGACTTCGCTGATCGAGGCGATGGAGGGCGACCAGAGGCAGCTGGCGGCACAGAGCGCGGCACTCTTCGAGGACGGGCCCCGGCGGGCCGAACAGATTCGTGCAGCGGCGAACCGGGCGTTCTTCGAGCTGGACAGCGACGACGCCGTGAGGAGGGCCACTATCGGCCGAGTCCGACCGCCACGAGGACCATTTGTGCCGGGCCAGCTGGTGTTCTACTGGCGCGAGATGAAGCACGTGAAGTCCAAGAGGCTCCAGGGCGAGCTGGGATGGCGCGGCCCAGCCATTGTGCTGGCGACGGAGGGCCACACGAGACTGCACCTGAGTTACCGAGCGGTGCCGGTGCTCGTGACGCCCGAGCAGGTGCGGCATGCATCACGCGACGAGGCGGAGCTGGTGGAGAACGAGGACCTGGTCAGGCAGCTTTCGCAGTGGCGTGGAGGACCTACTCTTCAGAAGGGGTTTATCGACGAACGTGGTCCTGGGCCTGAAGGAAGCCAACAGACAGGCACACGACGCGAGAGGAGCAACGACGACTCGGACGACGAGGACGCTGGAGACGACCCGCCGATGACGAAGGTACCTCGCACCGAGCCGGCCTCACCACCTCCGAGACCGCCACCAGTGGAGGCGACTCCGAAAAGGGAACGCGTGATAGAGGAAGCACCTGGAGCTCAACCTGGAGGGCTACCAGAAGTACCACCGCTACCCGGCGACGGGCCAGGACTTCAAGTACACAGACCAGCTTACGACCCACCTGCACCTGATGCAGCTGGGCAGGGGCACTCCATGGACCTGGGCGCAGCTGCTGTGCCAGGTAATCCGCATCATGAACCTGAGCGAGCCGAACAGCCAGGACAGCCAGAACCTATACCACCAAAGGGGTTCAAGAGGCCACTTCCTGATGACCGGCTGCAAGACAAGGAACGTCTTCGACTACGACGCGAAGCTCTCAAGGAGGCTGCTATGCGTTTGCCGCGGATTCCTGACGATCCCAGCGACCTTCCAATGGGGGACGACAGCGCACTCTACGTCAAGGTGAGCCGCGCGGTGGAGAACCGCACGAGGGATGCATTCCTGGCAATGAGGACCGATACAGCCAAGAAACAGGTTGCACCTAAGAAAGGTCGAGAACTACGCAGCATCCCGGCAGAGTGGAAGGAAGCATCCGACGCGAGCGACCTGGACGAGTGGCGCAAGTGGATCCAGTACGACGCCGTGGAATGGCCGACGGAGGAGGAGCTCGCAGGGGTCGAGAAGACGGACGTCCTGCCGATGCGGCGCGTCCAGACGGACAAGAACGAGCCGACGAGGGGCAACCTCTCGTGCGAGCAGCACCCGCTGAAGGCGAAGTCGAGGAACATCGTCCCCGGGTACAAGGACAAGCAGCTGCTCGCCGGCGAGTTGCAGACGAACGCGCCCACGCACACGGACACGGCCACGGCGGTGATTCTCCAGGAGGCGGCCAGCCAGGAGGGCTGGGCGCTGGAGCAGGGCGACGTCGACTCGGCGTTCCTAAATGGGAAGTACCTCGACAGCTCACGACGTGTTTATTTTCGAGCTCCCAAGGGCGGTCTACCGGCAGTCCCGGAGATGGGCTGGCCATTCGTGCCCGAGGGAACCATCCTGAAAGCGAAGAAGGGGATCTACGGGCTGAACGACGCACCTTTACTGTGGCACGAGGAGCACCGTGACACCATCCTGTCATTGCCCGGGGCTTCGAGATCCAAGCTGTGCCCGGCTCTCTTCATCTTCCACGACGAGAACGGGAAGCTGATCGGCCTCATCGGGACTCACGTGGATGACGGCCTGGTCGCGGGTTCGCCCGAGTTCTTCGCGAATCAGGTGGCGATGCTGAGGAAGATACACTGCTACGGCAAGCGGCAGTCTGCGCGGACAGGGTTTCACCACTGCGGGCGCTTCCTCAAGCAGAACGACGACGGCACCATCACGTGCAGCCAGAGGGAGCACACGGAGAGCATCGGGAGGATTCCTATTTCGGCCGAGCGCCGGAGGAACAAGGAAGCGAAGGCCACGGCTGAGGAGAGGGCGTTGCTCCACAGCGGCAACGGCCAGATCCAGTGGCTGGTGCGCTCTACGCGTATGGACTTGGCGTTCCGTCTGGTGGAGAGTCAGACGAGGGCTCACGACAGCGACCTGAAGGTGCAGGACCTGCTCGATTTCAACAAGCTGGTGAGCGACGCCAAGACAGACCACGTGGACATCACTTTCCAGAAGATCAACATGGACGATGCAATCGTGGTGGCCATCGGGGACTCAAGTCACGGCAACGTGGGCAAGACGAAGACGGCGAGCCAGGCCGGACTGGTCATCCTGCTAGCGGACAACAAGGACAACAAGTTCCTGCGCGGGATGCCTACCAAGATCACCCCCATGCTGTGGCGCTCACACCGCATTAAACGTGTGGTGCGCAGTACCCTTTCGGCCGAGACGACGGCAGCTTTGGAGGCGGTCGAGAGTGGCGACATGCTGAGGCAGCACCTGGTGGAACTACACTACGGACTGGGCTACCGGACCCACATGGAGGACGTCAAGGCGATTACCATGGTGGAGGTCACGGATTGCAAGTCTCTCTACGACCTGCTGCAGAAGCGCGGCACGGTTCCCTCCGAGAAGCGGCTGCTCATCGACATCGAGGCGCTCAGGAACGATATCGAGGTCAACAACGTGGTGAGCAAGTGGGTGAACACCAAGCAGATGCTCGCCGACTGCCTCACCAAGCACGACGTGCGCGCTGGCGACTACATGAGGTACGTCCTGCAGACGGGCGAGTACCGGCTGACCGAGGACCTCATGGCGGACCAGGTTATCCATAAGCAACGGACGGAGCTCAAGGGACGCAGGGGGGAGTACTACCGCACGAAGTACCCCAAGCGACAGCGACCTGCCGATCAGCCTTTCGTGCACGAGGGCTACACGTACTTCGAGGACTGCATCGCAGACGTGAGGTACAACGAGAAGGTCGTCCAACCTGCTCCGAAGCCATACCTACGTTGGCGGATGATGCTGGGCCAGCGCGAGAACGATATCTACTACGAGAAGCTCGAGGAGATGGTCGACTGGTCTGGCCTGGACCAGGTGGCGAAGCGTCGGACGATCCCGACGCACGTGCGTAAGTTGCTGACGGTCTACGCACCGACCAAGGGGGCCCTCGAGCGCTACGAGAAGGACTTTGCAGAGAAGCACACCATCAAGAAGCCAGATGCGACTGAGGATCCAGAGGACAAGGAGGAGTTGAATGTCACATCGGAGATGGAAATGTATGTGGAGTCAGACGTGAATGCCAAGCTGGATTGCACCGACGACACGAAGGAGATCTACATGATGGACGCGACGGGGGCCGACGCTGAGGAGATCAGAGCAAGCCCACAGGGAGGTGCAGCTGCGGCGTGGACTACCATGGTAGTATGTACTGTGTGTCGCATGACGGTGGACCAGTGCGAGTGCGGACCGAGGACACGGAAGAAGCCGCACAAGGACAAGGCCGAAGACAAGAAGGTCCCCAGCGACATAGACGAAGGCAGCTGGCAAGAAGTCCCGAGTGTACGCGCCACATCGGCGACACCGCCGACGCCATCTAAGAAACTTATGCAGAAGGCATACCGTCTACACGAGAAGACCGGACACGCTCCCTACGAGAAGATCGAGAGTGACTTCGGAGACGTGCTGGAGGACGGAGTTCTGGAGGCGTACCGTATGGTGATCGACGAATGTGCAGTGTGTCGGAAGGCAACCCAGGAAGCTGGCAAAACCAAGTACACCAAGAAGTCAAGTCCCACGAACACGAAGTACAGGACGAAGGACCAAAGCAAGTACATCGACCCCGACCTGTGCGAGCACCCGACGGACAAGCAAACGAGAGCAGGGACCAACCAGTACAAGGAGAAGATTAAGTGCACCGAGTGCGGGACCCTACTCGTGGACCGCGACACGCCATGGTGGAGCGAGGAGAAAGTACTTCGGGCGCAGGCCAAGGCGGCGAAGGCACAGATGGAGAGACAGGCGTATGTGCGGGGAGATACGGGCTCGAATTCTTCCAAGAAGTAGTTTTGTGTTTGGTTACATACATATTTCATGATGTTGGATTTCGTAGACGACACTATGGATTATTTCATATCCGACGGCTTCGCCGATTACCTTGACTTCATAGAGTACTGAGTTTTGCGAGTTTGCCCGGCGCTCGAACGAGAGGCAAGCTTAGCTAGAGAAAATAGTATGAATGTGATTTCTGGGGGAAAGACCCAGGGCATGTATCTAGCACGCTTGTGTACATGTGTGTATCAAGCGCCGGCGCTTGGGCTCGAGAGAAAGGCGCTTCCCTTCTCCCACTGCAGAAGCGACGGGTCGAGGGAGCGATAGCGGCTTGGAGCTATTCGATCGAGTTCTCTTTCGAGATTCCCGCCGACGGCATCGACACGTTCGAGCGGGAGAGTTTCGACCAGAAACGAGGGGGGCGTAAGTTTTGATTGTCAGCTCTGCCCGTTGGCTCACGAAGCGCTTGCATGCCACATCGATCGTGTGTTCGGTGTCTGCATGCTGCGGATGGCCGAAGTCAACATGTTCGCGCCAACTACCTCACCGAGCTCTCATATGGCACAACGTCTATAACCGTATCCCACAACTAAACAGAAACAACCTTATTTCCAGAACGTGCCGCAATGCCACTTCTCACACGCCCGACACCAGAACTTGGTTTGGCGGAGAACTGCAACGACAAGCACCAGGAACACGTTCTCCAACACAACGTTGACTCAGAAAACGCTGAGGGGGTCGCTCTGTTCCGTCCAACACAAAATGTCACACGGCTTGCTAAATTTATCCTCGTGAGCCTGGGCGGTCTGGCCGGCACAGGAGTGAAGAGGACCGAGGAAGAAAGACGAGTGAGGAGGGCTGGCTGACCTTTCAGCCTGAGGTGCACTGGACCGAGGAGGGAGGCTAGCTGACTGACAGGTTCAGTTTGCCGAGCCCGCTCCCAGGTGCCAGCGACAAGACGGGGCGCGACCGAAGTGTGGCTGCCCCGCCCCCCCCGCCTGGCCTTCTCGAGGGCCGAGTCGTCGAGCTCGCCCGATGGCGGTTCGGGCAAAGACTTCCTCGGCCGAGGGGAAGGAACAGGAGGAACACTATAAAAGAAACAAAGAGGACTACCCTGGGCTGCAATCGGCACTTTCCGTCGTCATGGTCGCCGACGACTGACCAAAGAGATTGCCTGGTCGCTTTTAGGCGGTTCGGAGCGTCTTTGGGTGCTCTTGTGAGTCCTGGGTGAACAGAGGAGTGGTACTAAAAATGTTAGAAAGAAGGGGGACGGGGAAAAAGAATGGGGAGATGAAGATTGGGAAGAACACCCATAACAACAAATAGCAGCAACGAAAGACGAGACGGGGGCATCACGAGGCGGCAGAGTGAGACGAGGAGCGTGGAGCGAAAAATCAAGGCAAATCATGCCTCCTCGCCTCGTCTCCCGTTCTCGTTGCATCCCTCCACCCCTTGGATGTCCCAAAACTATGCGGTGACAGACCTCGCGGTGACCTCGGCATCCCAAACGACCTCACCACACGGTCCGTCACCACACGGTTTTGGGACTCTGGAGGCCCCAACGGCCCGAGTCCCGAAACCGTGCGGCGACTCCGAACCCCTACTGGCCATCGCGCGGTGTGGTCACCACAACACTCGGGGGCTCCCGATCCCCTCCCCCCCCTCCCCCCAGGGGCGTCCAAGAGAGGGGCAACCCGGGGGGGTCGCAACTCATGACCCGTGCGCGGCCCAGGGCCCAGGGGGGGGCCAAGGGACGTCTTGGAATCAGAAGGCGCGTCCTGAAACCTGGGGGTGTATCATGGCCCGCGCCATGCTATTCGGCTACACGTAGGAGTGACCCTGGGTAAGAGTGACCTCTGGTGCGCGGCTTTTGGGGGGCTTTTGGGGGGACCAAACAGAGGCGCGGGAGGCGCTACCATCGCATCGCGTTCGGCGAGCGGGGAGCCCCATTGTGCCCGCACCAAAGGTCACTCCGGCGAAAGGTCACTCCTACGCCTAGTCGAGCTAACCCCACCCCCCCTAGATCATTGCCTCCCTCTCGGCCGCCCCCCCATCCCCCTCCCTCGAGAGTGGCCCGGGGACGCCCGCTCGGCCGACGGGGGTCGGAGGGGCGTCCTCCTCACGAGCGACTGGATGAGATGCTTCACGATGTCCTCGCCGTGGGGGCGGGGGGGGGCCCGGGGCCCTGAGGCGGCGACTGCGAAGGAGGGTGCGGTCTGGTTCGGGAGCGGCCAAGAGGGGGGTGTCCAAGAAGGGGGGGTGCAAATCATGACCGGCGGCATGTGCGCGGCCCAGCGGGGGGGCCAGGGACGTAATGAAATAAGAAGAGGCGCCATGAAATCTGGGGACATATCAAGGCCCACGCCATGATATCCACCCCCCCTAATCATCACCCCCCTCTTTGCCGCCCCCGACTGGTGCAACGAGCACTGGCAAGGCCGGAATACTCTTGAACATCTACCACACATGGAAGGAGAAGAGGTCTGGATGCGAGCCTTGCCGCTGGTAGTGGGACGCATGTCAGCTACGATCAATTGCGATTAAGTGATAGGCGGCCTTCGATGTCTCCGGGCGGGTGGATCCATGGCCGTCCAGAGCATGTATCAAAGAGGCGGGATGTCCCCCCCACTGAGACCGGACCCCGACTGTCGGAAGAAGAATGTGATTGGTGACCTTGGCCACATGATGTATACGTGTCCGACCTCACTGGGACAAGATGACGCTCTAGGCTTGCGGACCTGAAGCGAGGACGTGGAAAAAGCGCGTGATAGTCTGAGTGAGGAGTCTTTGAATGTGCTTGGCCAGGACAGCTTCCATTTGCTCAGATGTTGAATCGGGCCCCCCCAAACTCCGAGGCCCCTCCCTTGCCTTCCTGTGACCCTCCCCACTTCCTTTCGGGGGGACTGGAGTTCGAATCCTGGTACCTGGAGCCCTGTCGCGTTCTTTGATTGTTCTGGTGCGTGGCTTGAATTTACGAGCTTCGGATGGTCGGCGGTCCAACTCGGAGACAGGGGTCTTCCAGTGAAAGCGGCGCTCGGACAATTGCCTGGACCGGTTCAGTCTGTTGACCGCTCGAAGAAATATGCGCTGCCGCGGGGGCTACAACTGTTTCCGTCCTTGGGTCTGGCTGTCTCGGATCTCCTGAAGGGCCGTGAGGAAGGGGTTTAATGGTCCACCGAGCATGCTTCGGCCACGGGTGCGGCAAAAGTTATATCTTGCGAAGGACCGACAAGATTTGAGCCCTCCCGTGTTCGGGTGGGTGCCAGCGCACCTGACTATTCCCGACTTGTTGGGGAAGGTTGCCCAGCATGATAAGTGGCGCTTTGGTAACATGTGGGCTGATGTCTGTGCTGCACTTGGAGCGACGTCGCAGAAAGCCACGGATACCTCCGTAGAGTTCGAGGCTGACCTTTTGGCCACGGCTCGGACAAGTTTTCAATCTTTCGGATGAGCGGCGGCCCAGTGTGCCGCACATAAGCAGGTGGTGGGTGGGCAGTCGGAGGCCGTTCGGGAGTTCCCGAGGCCTTCGGCTTGCTTGTTTCCCCCCGCCTCCGATCCTCCGATTCCCTGGTCTGTAAGGTGTGCCTGGCCAAAGCTCGCACGCCAACCACTAAGAGACTGTTGACACAGGGCAGCGGTAGGCAGTGTGACCCCTCACCGTTGCAGGGAGAACGTACCCGTCTGGCCGTCACACAAGACGGTCTGCACCAAGGCTGTCCTGGTGTCCGATCCTGGGGGCTCGGGTCCGCACGTGGGTGCTAGGGCTTCCATGGATGGGCTGCGCTCGGAGTCTGGGCCAGGGCAGGGGGAATTTCAATGTTTCACTTTCCTGGGGCATGTTATGGAACGGGCTGGTCCATGCACATGTTGCACGGCTTGTGGGACACGTTGTGCCCACCGTCTTGGCCCTAAGCTCAGGGGCTTATGTGATTCCCCGCCCTCTGGCAAGCTTCCCGCAGGTGCGAAGACTGCGCTGGCCAGCATTCGAGAAGGGACACACCCCAAGATGGGGTATGTTTGTCAGGGTGATGCTGACTTGGGGAGTCTGTTGACCTGTTGACTCATGTTTTCTTCATCGCAGGGGGATCGTGGGTAACTTGCTTATGCTCTCATGGCTAGGATCTCTGAAACCTGTCCCTTGCTCTACCCATTCGTCCCCTCTTCCTCCTCGTTCCTCCTCCTCCCCCTCCTAGTCGGAGGTGATCAAGGGCCGTGGGAACGGTCTCGCCGACACCGCCGCCGCACAAGGGGGCACTGTCGCATCCTCGCGCTTCTGCGGCTGAGTATATGACAGTGGACAGGGATCTCGAGCACTGTTTGCAAGCTGGTGGCCAAGCTCCTCCTTCTTTGGCCTTTCATCAACTTGGAGAGAATCGAGCTCCAGCGAGCGCGGCCGTGATTACTGGCTGTGGGCGACCCTGTGAATCAACACCCGTGGCAGTGGCACCAGCAGTTGAGGAGGAGTTCTCCTCGTAAGTTGCGGTCCACGCCCACCGATACAAATACCCCAAAACTGTGCCGGGTGCAGCCTTTCCGACATTGACGTTGCTGACCGGGAAAATCGCAAATCCCACCAGCCCTCTGGGCGTAGGTGGTCTAGAGAGCTTTCTCTTCCAACCCCCTTCTTCATTCGGGCAGGGTTTACCTCGTCCCCCCTCCCCTGGATCTGGAGGGGGGGGGCGCGAGGTGTCAGAGGGTCCTTTTGGGCCCAAGATGGCAACAAGAGCGCCTCAGAGAGCCCAAGATGACCTCCAAGATGGCTCGGGATAGCCCAAGCTGGCTCAATATGGTTTCCAAGATGCTCCAAGAGGCCGCAAGACCTTTCCAAGACGGCTCCAAATTGCCACGGAGCCTTCCACGGAGGCCGCCAAGAGACCAATATCCTTCAAAACCTGACGACACTCAATGAATTTAGCCTCTTCGCCTTTTTGCTTTCGATGGCCCTCCGAAGCCTCAAGGCAGCTCCAGGGGGGCCCCTCAGAGCTCCAAGCAAGGCCCGCGAGAGCCCCAAGACGGCCCCAAGAGCGCCCAAGAGCGCTCGAAGAGGGGTCCGAGAGGCGGTGTTGGGGGCTTCCGAGGGGGGAGGCTAATTAAGTAACCACCCTTTTTTGAGCAATCCCCTCCAAGATGGCCCCGAGAGCGCTCCCAAGGCCCCCAAGAGCGCCTGAAGAGGGCCCCAAGAGGCGCCAAGGAGGCCCCAAGTGGCGCCCAAGAGGCCTCCAAGAGGCTCCCAATTGAGACCCCCATACGAGGCGCTAAGAGGCTTCCCGAGGCACCCGAGACGCTCCAAGAGCCCCCAGGACCGCCAAGAGGCTCCCAACGGCTCTCCAAGAGGGACCCTTCCAATATGTGCGGCCCACTTCCCTGATCGAGGCAACTTCTCTTACATCGTCTCTGGATGGACAGGTGGGGTTTCGCGGAGCGTGAAGGATTCATCTTATTGCCTTGGCAGGACGGTGCTGACGTCTGTTTCTGCACAGCCTGTGGTGCCCGGTTGCATCAGGGAGCGACGGCTAAGAATGGGCTAGTAGGACGCCGCTCTCGCCAGCTCTCCCGCCACGGGCTCACGAACTTCAGCAAAATCATGCGGGGTGCGAATTCAAAGAAAGACGCCCTGCGGCTGGACAACCCGCACACCCATCCGTCCCCTGTCTTTCCTCCGAGCGGGTGGGTAAAGCTCCTCGCCTTCAACCCTGGGTGGGCTCGCCACCCGCCTATGAGTATGCTGACAGTTGCCTGTGGATGTTGAGCAAATTCTCTTCCTCCTCCTCCTCCTCCTCCTCCTCCTTCTCCTCGTCCTCCTGCTCCTGCTCGTGCTTCTGTTCCTGCTCCTCCTCCTTCTCCTCTTCCTCCTCCTCCTCCTCCTCCTCTTGGTGCACATGTTCCTTCACAGGCGATGGTGGCAGCGCGTGCGAGAAGGTTTGACTCCTCCTCCTCCTCCTCTTCTTCCTCCTTCTCCTCCTCCTGCTCCGCCGCCTCTTCCCCATCCATCCCCCTTCTCCTCCTTCATTCCCCTCCTCCTCCTCCTTCATTCCCCTCCTCCTCCTCCCCCTCCTCCTCATCCTCCTCCTCCTCCTCCTCCATTCACTCCTCCTCCTTCTCCTTCTTCATTCCCCTCCTCCTCCTCCTCCTCCTCTTCCTCCTCCTCCTCCTCTTCCTCCTCCTACTCCTGGCTATTCCCCCTCGCTCTCCCTCTCCGCCCTTCCTCGGGGGAACGAGGAGCGGGGGGGGCTGGCTGGGCTCCTCGGGCGGCGGCGCGGCGGCGTAGTAGTCGACTGCGAGCTCCTGGAGGCTCGGCAGCTCCCCGCCCCTCCTGCTCGACTGAAGTCCAGGGCCGAGGCTTGTGGATCTCAGCTGCCCCGACACGCAACACGCAACACGTAGCGTATTGATACGGAGCTCAACACTCACACGGACGCTTTGAACACTGCACGTGCTGCGTTTCAAGACGTGCACGTGGATGTTTCAGAAGTTCCTCACGCGGGCTGAGGCCACCGGGGTGGCGCTGCGGGCCTCTGGGGTGCCTCCGAGGCCGGGCCTAAGGGTTGCCCCAAGCCCTCGAGGGCCGAGGGGGAGAGATTCCTTCTTCGGTTGGCTCCTTGTGAGGGCACCCAGCGGCCTCAGGGGGCCTCTGGGGACGTCTGGAGGCCAGAACCCAGAGACTCACCACTTCCCACCCCTCCTGCTCCATCGCCCCTCCATCCATCCTACCTCCCTCCCCCTCCGCCCTTCCTCCATTCCTTTTCCTTATACATCCGCACCCCGTGGCCAGTCTTGAGGGCGGGCCGGGCGTTTCGACCGAGACTTCCTCACCATTTATGGCCCTGAAACTTAAACAAGTGGCGACAGTTTCACAGATGGAGGGCGGGTCGTTTTCACAATGTGGCTCTCGCCTTAGCGCCGCGCACATTCGTTTTAAAACTCCGCAGGGGCTTCAAGGATTGAGGGCGAACGGTTCTCAAAATGTGGCACTCGCCTCAGCGCCGCGCACAATCGTTTTGAACATTGCAAGAGTTTCACGGATCGAGGGCGGCTCCTTTCCAAAATGTGGTTCTCGCCTTAGCGCCGCGCACATTCGTTTATAAACTTTGCACCGATATTTCGGAATCCCGTGATCAACGTACCAGAAATTGCGTCTTGGAAGAAATCAGGATTGTGCATTTACGTTCATTCGCGGTGTTGAAGTCTAGAGATGGCGCTCTGGCGCAATTCAGGATCGTCAAGACGCAACAGTCAGCTTGATCCGTGGCGTTGGAATCCCGAGAACCATGTTTTAGCACGCTTCAGGGTCTTCAAACGGTTGTCTTCCAACGAGGCAGTTCACTCAGTGGAGATGAACCGTTGTAAGGGCCGATGAGGAGGGAACTCGGGGGGAGGGTTTATTCCAACACCGTTGATGACTCTTGGGTGAACACTGGTCCTCCTCCTCCTCCTCCTCTTCCTCCTCCTTCTTGTCCTCCCTCTCCTCCCTCCTCCCTTCAGGCTCCGACCGATGGCGGCCCTTCTTCCTCTCTCGGGCCGGTCCCAGTTTGGAGCCGAGCGTTGCCCCCAGCGTGGCCGCAGCGGGCGCGCAGGACGGCAGCCAGCAGCGACACCCTTCCCTGGGCTGCTGCACGTCGGCCACTCCCGACACCGAGCCGCGCGGCCCGGCGCGCTTTGGCCTGCTGCGGCCCGCAACGGCGGCCCAGAGCGTGGCATGGACGTGGCGGCCCTTGCACGTTGGGCCCGATGGCCTGACGACCATAACGGTGCCGCCACACCGTGCCTGCAGGAGGCGATGCTAAAGGACGGCGGCTCTGGCCTCGTGACCTAGAAAGGGAGAGATTGGCAGTCCGGTTGTGGAGGTGGAGCACCACTCGATCTTCCACCTCCGAGTGACCCTGTTTTTCGCAGGCCACCACCCCCTATCACATCCCATGCCTTTCTTGATCCAAGCGAATCTGGGCCCTTCGGGGCGTCGTCATATTATGGGGGGCGGATGTGAGAAATGCTGACTGTCTGTTACAGACAGCCCACCTCGTCGCTCTGTCTCATGCTCCGCCTACCTGCACCGACCCAGCAGCCCCTGGCCGACGCCATCCCCCCTGACCTCGTGAACAACTCTCCCGAAGCACGTTCATCTTCGCGCCCCTGTGGGAGACCGTGCTCCGGGATGGAGGACTTTACAAAACAGGATGGATGTGGGAACGCTCTACATGTGATTGAGGGGAAAACGCTCAGAACCGCCCTCGCAACATTTCTGGGAAGTGGGCCCACATCGTGTTGGGAGTTCTGGAAATGCCTGCGGGTTCAGAAGGGAATCCGCCAGCTCCTCGTCACACGTCACACCAGATGCAAGAGTATGCTGTCGCCTTCTGGCCGTCCGTCCTGCGGGATAGCCCAAATTCCGCGATGCGGATTCTTCTTGCTGTTGTTGTTGTTGTTGTTGTTGTTGTTGTGGTTGTTGTTGTTGTTGAACATTATTACTTCTAAAGAATAATTATTGTTGGGGCCCCTGGTGCGCGACCCCCCCGCCGCGCCTAGGCCGCAGCCACGTTTTCATCATTTTCGTGAGGAAGCCTCAGGTAATACGATGTCATCAAGATCCGGTTGTTTTGTTCCCCCCCGCTTTTCCCTTGCAAAAAACACTATAAAATGACATTTCTTGTTCTAATATAATCAAATTTCAAGAATCCCTTGCAAAAAATAAGGTAAAGTGGACATTCGCGCGCGCAAGACGAAATCCTTCCAAAACCTTAGTGTTCGCAGCGATTTTAACATAAAAACATCAAAAAACCAATGGTTTTTCAACAAAAAAATTGTCAAAATCTCATCCCGCGCGCTCTTGCGGATTCGTAGGAAACCCAACACTTTTTAAACATTTCTGTCAAACGGGCTTTTGCGAGCAACTTTTTCGAACTTCTGCGACAACGGTTGCGCACCTGCCAGGGCCATCATCCCTGTCAAATAATACCATGCGGGACACATTCGTTTTTTCTTCGCGCGCGCACGCCGTCGTCGTCGGCCGCGGGGCCCTGAATAGTAGCCACGGTCGTCCGCATGCCACGAAGTGAAGTGTCCGAACGTCATAGGGCGGGAAGCTGGGTGTGGGTGGTGGCGAAGAGTCGTTTGGAAATTTGGTAGAGCTTGAACCGGCCCCCCCACAAAGTGGGGGTATTGCCCGCCTCCTATGAAAACCCTGGCACTGGTGAGAACGGAGTGTCCCCAGTCTTAAATGATTGTTGTTGTTGTTGTTGTTGTTGTTGTTGTTGTTGTTGTTGTTGTTGTTGTTGTTGTTGTTGTTTATTGTTTGATGTCGTCGTCCCTCCCGCGACCCGCCCCGCGACCCACCCGCGACACACCCCGCGACCCACCCGCGACCCACCCCGCGACCCACCCCGCGACCCACCCGCGACCCACCCCCCGACCCACCCGCGACCCACCCACGACCCACCCGCGACCCACCCCGCGACCCACCCCGAGACCCCCCCTGCGACCCCCCCGCGACCCACCGGCGACCCACCCGCGACCCACCCGCGACCCACCCCGCGACCCTCCTGCGACCCACCCGCGACCCACCGCGACCCACCGCGACCCACCCGCGGCCCACCCGCGACCCACCCCGCGACCCACCCAAAATTTTCGGCGCCTGCGGCGGGTTTCTTTTGAATTCGTTCCAGGTGGAGAACCTGCGACGCACCCGCGACCCAAACCGCGCCCGCGACCCACCCGCGACCCACCGCGACCCACCCGCGACCCACCCGCGACCCACCCCGCGATCCATCCAACCGTTTCGGCGCCTGCGGCGGGCTTCTTTTGCATTCGTTCCACATGGAGAACCTGCGACCCACCCGCGACCCAAACCGCGTTCAGCGTACAAATCAAAATTTTCGGCGCCTGCGGCGGGCTGTTTTTGAATTCCTTCCAGGTGGAGGTGGAAAGCCTGCGACCCACCCGCGACCCAAACTGCGTTCACTGAACAAGTCAAAATTTCGGCGCCTGCGGCGGGCTTCTTTTGCATCCGTTCCAGGTGGAGAACCTGCGACCCAAACCGCGCTGTGTAAAAATCAAAATTTCTTGCGCTTGCGGCGGGCTGTTTTTGAATAGATTCCAGGTGGAGGTGGGGAGCCCGCGACCCACCCGCGACCCAAACTACGTTCACTGAGCAAGCCAAAAATTCTTCGCCTGCGGCGGACTGTTTTTGCATTCGTTCCGGGTGGCCCACCAGCGATCTCCCCCGCGCTGAACTTGCCAGAGCACGACGACGACGATGAGGACGAGAACGCGGACGAGGAATGAGGAGGAGGAGGAGGAGGAGGAGGAGGAGGAGGAAGAGGAGCAGGAGGAGGAGGAGGAGGAGCAGGAGGAGGAGGAGGAAGGAGGGCGCCTTCGACAGGGAAGGTGAGGGCCACGAGGTCCGCCGGCTCGACGCCCGCGTCGCCCGCGCCCGCCCCCTCACTCTTATCCGCAACTGCGGGGTGCTACGTAAGATTGAAGGGGCCCAAGGACACACAAATAAATACACACAAATAAAACGGCATCCCATATTTTCCCGTATTTTCTAAGTTTTTGTCTTCCCCCCCACTTCCCATATTTTCCCACATTTTCTGAGAATTCGACGATTAATTGTGTCTGTCTGTTTTGTTCCCCCTCCTGAAAGATTACGTTCTGGTTATTTTTGGGTCTCCGGCCTCTCGAACTGAACAACGAACCAGGAACAAGACATGCACAGCACTCCAAGCCCCTTTCCCCCACTCGAACCCCTGCCTGGTACTCCAGATTTCGTAAAAAAGTGAGGGGGGTCTCATTTCGGGGGGGGGGTCTCTTCCAGGCTATCTTGGAGGGCCTGGGGGGGTCTGGGGACGAGGTTTTGGAGGGTTCTCCCACGGGGGGGGTCTGAAATGGCTTGTCTTGGAGGGTCCAGACCCCCTCCCTTTTATTACGAGATCTGGAGTACCCCAACTCATCCGACCCCACGGTATCGTCGACGGTTCTCCAAACCTGAGGCTTTGGCGCTGGGAAACTTTGCCGTGCGTCGTTGGGACGCGCGGCGTTGAACAATGGGCCACCTATAGTTTCGTACGAGCACCGTTTAGAGCAGTTTGATCAAAAACAACGCGTCCTGCTACATTAAGCTGGGGCTGCCAGCTGGTGAAGTTTTATCTCGCGCTTGGCAGAACCTCTCGTTTTGCCGACCTCTGTGAGCCTGACGGAGCTGGCGTGATTCGTCTTGGGTTGGTAGGGAGGCTGGTGAGCCTCGCTTCGCGGTTGCCGCGGACCACCCCTTCTTGCACCAGAGCGTCGTG